TAAAATGTGTGACACACACAAACACATACACACACAGACAACTCCGTGACAATATGCGTTTTGTAATGCTGTTACACAGCACAAAACGCATAAAAACAGGCTGCATGCTCATGCATAGTGTATGTGTGTGTGTGTATATTTTTGTGCCTGTATACGTGGATGCGTGTATGTGTGTTTGTGTGTACGTACGTGTGTACACTATATATGGGAGTCTGTGTATGTGTCTGTGTATGTATGTGTGTCTGTGTATGCATGTGTGTCTGTGTGTGTACATGTTTGTGTGTATGCGTGTATGTACACATGTTTGTGTGTTTGCATATGTTTATTTGTGTATGTATTTGCGTGTTTGTATGTGTCTATGTATGCGTGCATGTGTGTGTGTGTGTATGTGTGTGTGTGTACGTATATGTGTTTTTGCGTGCATGTATGTATGTGTGTGCGTGTCTGTGCAAATCGTGTATATGTGCGTATGTGTGTGCGTCTACATGCATGTATTTATGTATGTGTGTGTGTGTGTGTGTGTGTGTTTGTATACTGTGGTTTCAGTGCAATTTTTTCAAATCTGCTTAGTGTATGCATAGATTTGCTGAACTTTAAAAATGCGGATTACTACTTTTGTTTATGTCATTTTCGAGGCGTTTCGTTTGGTCAGCATCTGGTACTTGATTTTCCTCTATACGTTGTCACTGTTAAATTCGTAGTTATTTGTGAAGCATATTCTCAGAACTCCCGGGCCCTTGCTTGACTCGTTACCTCAAAACAGTTCAAAGCCGAGGGTGATGCTCGGATTTCTCCGCACGTCTACTGCGTTTGTGTTGCTCAAGCGAAAGCTAGTCACTGTGAGAATCTGTGTGATGTGGACGACTAGTTTCCTCTGTGAGTGGTGCAGTGTGATATTCACTATGGTATGACTGCAATCTAGTGGGTGGCCCTGTTGTCGTTAGCTGCTTTTTCGAATTAGCTGAAATGCTGGATTGGGATTTTGAGGAAGGCATAATTGGGTGACAAAAGTTTGTGGAAAAAACAGTTCTATTTGTCGTTTTCAGTCTGCTGTATAACAGATACGGGTGCGAAAGCAATTCGTACTGGCCCCCCTAGAACACCATTTCTCAATCTTTCCCTTTTTCACACTTCTAATATATTTAATTGATTCATTTTTTCTCTCCATATTCATTCATTTGTAACATAGGTTCTGTTGTCGTCCTCGTCAGGCATTCCTTTAGCCTGTTCTCTTACAAACCTTGTCCCTCGTTTTGCGATAGTTTTGTTATTTCCGTTTGCTTTTTTTTTGACTGTGGATTTTCATCGTTGCGTGTCAACCGTAGCTTTAACGCTGATGTCGCATTTTTCGGAAAACCAAAATTTCTATTTTTTGTCTACATGCAAAGAAAAATTTCTACTTTTCATTTTTTTCCACTAAATGCATTCATGGAAAAGCAGGAGCTAAAAAACATGATTGGTCCCATGCGGGGATACCAAATGCGAAATCGCCGTACGGAATATCTTTTCAAAAAAAAAAAGTTTTGATTACGACTTGTGACGCTTTTCATTAGTAATAATTGGTCGCATAATTTTACAATTTCTTCACCTAACATGCACATTTAATATCTAAAAGCCAGAAATCAAATTCCCCTCCATATTTGCAAGGGACTGGGGCAGTGGGAAGTAGCCCGAGTGGTATTAGTTGCTAACAGCAACCACTCGTTGACAAGGTTGTCGATGGCTTTTTTCGAGAATTGCTTACAAGCAAAAATTGTTAGTGTGTTTGTCTTCTCGAGATACGCCAGTACAAATTTACCATTGAAACGAATGAACGGATCGTAGAGTGACCGCGTTATTTCCCGACCTTGAGCACGAGAATTTGCTACATATAACACACAGAGCTTATTTGATTATCTAATCGCATGGAACTTAAATCACTACCATTATAAACTTTCAAAACAGCCTGGTACTTTTAGTTCTATTATGCTTCCTTTTTTACCAAGCTAAATTAAAATTGCAAATCCACGCTTGCTAAATAAGCCAGTCGACTCTTCCAAGCTCAGATGACCGCCCCATCCGTGTCATTTTTATGCGTTTTTGCCTATATGCAAATTGCAAAAACGCATATTGGGACGACCCTGTCTG